TTCAATATTAGTGAGTGTGAGCGCTTTTCTTTGCGTTACAATGCTGGTGAGAGATCAAAAAAAGTTGTCACGATCCCGTCGTAAAGTAGAAGCAAACAAAGGGATTATAGCATCGAATCCGGCTCCGCTCTCGAGAACTAGTACTAAAACAAGTGCATTCACCAACTATTAGCAGATTAGCTGCGCAAAAAATCGATTTATTGATTCAATCTTGCAGTTATCTGATACTTTCACTACTATTATGGTGCAAATGAACACATATGGAAAAAATTCTGGAACAGAAACAAAGAATATGTTCTTACCCGGGATCATCAAGTTCATAGAAAAGCTGTCCTTTGGAAGGCTCTTGGATGTAGATTTTTATGGATGGCTGTTCAATATAATGTCTTGAAATGTTCGGGAAAGCACGAACAAAGGCCATCTTCACTTGATCGAGACTATGCACCTGTAGAAGCACATAATTTGGCAGTTAAAGAAATCTGCAGAAATCCAACCTCAGGAGGCAAAATGGCCCTTTTAACCTCATCGTTTGCTTGCAAAAAGACCACATTCATCTGCTCGAGTTGCCTTGACGGCGTCGCATATTCGCCATTTTGGTGGAAATGTTCGGCTCTTCCGGAGTCCCATCGTGGCATCGTAGCTGGGGACCCTCCAAACTGACTCTGTGATGGTCCCCTTACCGGAGACATCGCTCTAGCTCCCATGGTCGGTAATGTCGATGAGGGTCGTACTCTTTCGTAGTCGACGGGATCATTCTGAAGAAACTGTATTTGACACTCTTCAGTCAGTTTACTTGTGCTTGCCAAGAACAAATAAGGGTAAGCGTAGGGGCACTGTAAAAACAGGAGTAATATTCAAGAGTTGTGTCAGTTGGCTTCTTTGCAATGTCATAAATTTTACGGCTACACTCTCTCGCAAATTTGCACATTTTATCAATTTGCTCGAAATACTTCACCGATTATATTTTCGAGATATGTCTTCGAGAAATTGAAATTCGTCAGCTACAGCCTATTATAATAGTCATAACTATAAATTTATCATTTTGCGCGAAAAAGTATGGTAGAAGAAATCGGCATCCTCTAGGTACGAAAAAGCATAAGGATGAAGTCGTCTCAAAATTTGTTTTCTCAGCCTTAACAAATCAAATCTTATTGTAAATATCTGGAATGAATTTAAAGA